GGAATTACCAGAAAGTAATAGCTCTTATTGGAAAGCTAAATTTATAGATGGCTTACCAACTCATTTCTTGAACGAATAAGAAAAGTTCTTAGGAAAGATTTTCCTTACATTCCTTATGATGATTATACTTATGGTCATCTAATAGGTGTTTGCACACAAGAAGGATTAGCTTTATGTAATGAAATAAAGTTAAATCAACAAATTAAAAGACAACAACTATCAGAACGAAGACAATTAGGTCGGTTACGTGATCAATTCTTTGTGGATATTGGGCGAGAAAATAGGGATAAAAGAATGAAGAAAAATAAAATTCCTTATATACCTAAAGGAAAACGATGACGTAAAAGAACAAAAGAACAAAGAGAATTTAGAAAAATTAATAGAAAAAATAAAAGAGACATAAAATGTTTCAAATGTGGTCAAAAGGGTCATATTGCCCCTAATTGTAAAAAGATTAATAGAATTAGATTATTAGAAATAGATGAACAACTTAAAGAACAAATATGCAAAGTAATAGAAGAATCGAAGCGAGTGCAAACAGAAGAAACTAATAGCTCCGAAAATAATATGCTTGAAACTGATGAATATTCATCTAGTTCTTCGGATGAATGTCTTCCATGTCAAAATAATAATAATAATAATTGTTGTAAGGATAATAGTCTTTACAATATTATATCTCAATTTCAAGATTTACAATTTAATATGTTAACAACTGATAATGTTTTAGAATTACTAAAACAAATACCGATCATGATATTCGTGATAAAATAATTAAAATGATAGATGTGTCTCATAAAAAGAAAAGGAAGTTAATAAAAGGATATAGTTTTAAATAATAATCCTTATTCAATGCAGGAAATAGAAAAAAGAATGAAAAAATTACTAAATAAAGAAGAATCATCTTCTTCAGTTATAACTATTGCAGACTTACAAATAGAAGTTCATAATATAAAGAATGAAATAAAATATTTGAAACAAAATAACGAATTATTAGAAAAAGGATTAAAACAATTGAGTATTCACAATCGGTGAAACCTCTATAGTTGATCCACAAACTATTCAAAATTTAGTGAAAATATATCGAAGATCATAATTATGAATTCTTAAAAACAATACAAATAATTACATCTCAAAGATGGTATATAAAATTAACTCTAATGATAGATAGACAATTTGTCTTAAACAACATTGCAATGATTGATAGTGGTGCTGATTTGTCTTGTGTTCAAAAGGGTTAATACCCACGCAATATTTTGAAAAACCTCGCATGCATTAAAATCCGCATCTAATCATACATTAGATATTTCATATAAATTGCCTAATGCTTTTGTTTGTCGGGATAATATTTGTCTTCCACAAACATTTTTATTAGTAAGAAATATGCCAGAGTGCCTATTATATTAGGACTTCCATTTTTATGTATGTTATATCCACTTAAAGTTAATTTTCAAGGTTTTACAGAACCTATAAAGATAAATCAATAAATTTCCAGTTTGTCTCGGACCCTATAACAAGGTCTATTAGGTCATTAATAGAAGCTAAAGAAAAACAATTATTTTTCATTAAAAATGAAATTATGAATTTATCAATACCTGAATTCTTGAGTAATACTAAATTACAAGAAAAATAAAACATATTACAATACAATTTCAAGAATCGGTATGTCTTGATCACCCAAATGCTTTTGGAATAGAAAGAAACATTTAGTTAATCTCCCTTATGAAGATAATTTTAATGAAAAGGATATTCCTACTAAAGCAAGACCATGCCAAATGAATTCTGTATATATGAATTTATGTAAAGAAGAATTACATTCTTTGCTTCAAAAGGGTTTAATAAAACCTTCACAATCTCCTGGTCATGTCTTGCATTTTATGTTAATAATGCAGTGAAAAGAACGTGGCGTCCCAAGATTAGTAATAAACTATAAGCCACTTAATAAAGTTTTAAAGTGGATAAGATATCCTATACCTAATAAAAAAGATTTATTATCAAAATTATATAATGCCAACATATTTTCTAAATTCGATTTAAAATCTGGATATTGGCAAATTCAAATAAATCTGAGCATACTTATAGAACTGCTTTTAATGTGCCTATAGGACAATTTGAATGGAATGTGATGCCATTCGGATTAAAGAATGCTCCTTCGAATTTGAGAAAATCATGAATGATATATTTATTCATTATATGGATTTTATAATTGTTTACATTGATGATATCTTAGTATTTTCTGATAATATTGAACAACATTTTAAACATCTTAATATATTAAAGGATGTTATTTTACGAAATGGCTTAGTAATATCTAAACCAAAGATGCTTTTGTTTCAACATAATATAAGATTTCTTGGTCATCAAATAAGTCAAGGAAAATAACCCTATTCAACGATCAATTGAATTTTCTTCTAAATTTCCTGATGTTTTTACTGAGAAAATTCAACTCCAGAGATTTCTAGGAAGTTTGAATTATATTTCACCATACTATAAGAATTTACAGAAAGATTTAGCAATTCTATATGATTTGCTTAAAAAATCAATTAAATTTGATTGAATGAGAAAAGCATACTCAATTAGTTAAGCAAATAAAAGAAAAGGTAAAAACTCTACCATGTTTAACATTAGCAAATCCAAATTGGAAAAGATAATAGAAACGATGCTAGTAGCATAGGATTCGGTGGAATCTTGAAGCAGTTAACCCTTATGATAATAATGAATATCTTATTAGATATCATTCGGTAAATGGACGAGAACCTCAAAAGAAATATGCAATCTGTTGCACAAGAATTTCTTGCTATTGTAAAATGTGTATTAAATTTCCAAGATGATTTATTTAATCGATCGTTTGTCATTCACACCGATGCACTTGCGATTAAACACATGATTTATAAAGATTATAAGCATGATTCTTCAAAGCAAATATATGCTCGATGGCGAGGCTAATTTAGCCCCTTTTGATTTTGAAATTTTATATAAAAAGGTAGTGATAATTCCTTACGATTTTTTATCACGTGAATATTTGCGGGATGGAGTGGCCACAAATTGATTATCTTAATCCACTATCCGTAATACATATTGCTTATAATAAGATTGTTGCTGAATATAGGCATTGTAGAACGGAATATATTTTTGCGAAGCATAGACTAAATCACTTTTTACGAGTTCGTAATACAATTCTTGATTGTCTTGATGAATTTACTTCACCACAACAGATAATATCTGTTTGAAGACCTTGAATTTGTCTATGACATGATAGAAGACTTCACTGGAAGATTAAGCGAAAGTGAAGAAAAGTTGAATTATTGTAAAGCCAAATTATCATTAATAATTCTCTAATTTTCAGGATTATGTATCCACCAGATCGAGGACGCGGCCCTTATAGAGGTCGTGGAGGAAGAACAATAAACCATGTAATACAACATGGGAATAAAAGCTAATAGCTGCTGATTTTCAAAATCTCGGGAGGAATCCTCCTCATCAAATGCGAAATTGGTCCAAATAATGGATTTTATTCGAAAGATTCTGCATTATATAAGCGGATTATGGACCAAATCCAAGAGCAACAAAGTGATACCTTTGCTGCCAAAGTAAGTGATCTTGACCGAGGATGATATCCGGTCATATGAAAAAGGATCCACAAAGGAGGTAATATTCCTTCTTGAAAACGCTGATATTCGGTGGAAAGATGATCCATGGGTAATATTCCGGAGATATCTAGCGAAAGGGTAACGATACCGGGTGAGTCATACAAACCCAGAAATTATTATGAGAATATTCTCAAACAAACATGTGAAATAACACATTTCCAGTCTAATCAGACTACAACTGAAGTTTATAACTTCTCAAAAATTATTATCAAAAAGATTTTATCTTTTGAAGAATGGGGAATTTCAACCCTTTCTGAAAGAGAAGTACGTAATACTCCTACTTCTCCTCCTTTGAAATTTACTTACTGGGATTATATCCAAAGTTTTTACAAAACTTTTTATTATGAAAACCCCAGGAAAAAGCATACTTGGTTCATAAAAATATGCTCCCATGTGTATTCTTCTCCCATACCCAACTGGTTTATTCAGTGGTGGGCATTATATGGCCCAACAGCAAAAATTTTGCCAGATAATTTTTCGAAATTATATTATCAATGGTTAAAATCCTCTCCTATCATTGATAAACTTCAACACAGTCATATCTGTGCTCCAGGAAAAATCACTCTGTTATACTTCTTTATTGAATTCTCAATTCCTTGGATTTATAAATGGGTCCCTGAGGTGGGATTCAATGAATTTCAAATTCCGTGTCTTTATAAGACATATTACACCAAATTTTGGGACAAATTAACAAAGGTGAATCACAATACCAAAAGAATAGAAGGACAAGATTTGCTGGACGAAATTACCCAGAAAATCAAGGAATATACTCAAGAAAAAGGACAGCTCAAAGCAAACCCAGATGAAGAAAGTCCGTTTAAACATATCACAAAACGGATTCAGCTTGACAGAGGAGCAATTAATAAAGAAGAAATAATATCTGCCTATATGAAAGAAGTTAAAGCAGATCTCATGAGAAATTTAAAGAATCTCGACAATGATAATATTTCAGAAAAATCAGATGTTTCGATGAAGAGCATAACTTCAAATGAAGAAAATTCGTTTGCAATATTGACCGGAGAATCTCAGTCACCAGAAAAAGATGACGATCACGATGAATTCATCAAAAATCTGTTACAGCAGATCCAAGAATCAGCTCAATCAGCAAAAGGAAAAGAAAAAGAATGAAGTGACAAAAGTAGGAATCTACTTTTGAAATTTTGTACAAATAGACCACCACCTTCAGTCAAATCTGAAGAAAACCATGTCAAATAATGACAAAAGTTAATAATTTTTGTACAATAGTGGTTTTAACTTTTGTAGAATAGTAGTTAGGCACTTTGTCTATAAATAGAATGTAGAAGTTCTTGTGGAGGGCATCATTCTCTCCAAGTATTCTCTCATTTCTTCTCCCTTTATCCCGAAATTCTCTCTCCCCCTTGTAAAAACATCATTTAGTAAATATATCTTTCAAGTTTGAAGCATTGAAGAAGCCTTTAAAGGTAATATTTTCTTTTAAGTTTGTTTTAAGTTATAGTTTGAAGTACTCAGACAATGTCTGAGTAAATCCTTTGTCTGAATCAAACATTTGGCTTTTGTTTACATAAATTATACATGGAAGCTCTATCTCCTTCTTCTCTTTTAATTAAAATACGATGATTTGAGATTGGTTCCAATCCAGTTCATCGGAAAACTCAACAATAAGTGCATTGGGCTGGAGAAGTACCCGCTATGATGAAATGTTTTAGGGAAAAGAGGCCACATGATGCACAATAAGTTGTGAATTCAGACAGGCTTGAGAGTTGGGTGAAACTTTTCCATGCATCTCGATTATTGATATTTTAATTAAGGATGGATAGAGATTTTGATCCTGTAGCTGGCGACAAGGCATAGCTCCGGATGAATGGTATCGGCCAGGGTGGTGGTTTGGATTCCGGCTGGTTTCCTTGCTCGTCTGTTTGCACGGTCTTACCGGCTAAGATAAGCACTGGCGAGCCCCAGCCCCACGCCAAATTGGTATCGAGCGGTTATGTATTTTTATGTTTACAAAAGATTTGTTTGATTCGAACCTAATTTAAAATGAATAATTTAGAAAGTACTTCAATAAAAATTCAGTTCAAGAGGAATATGATATGCCTCAACAACTTGCTCTTCTTAATAAGTGGTCAATACCAAAGGTACCCACTAATACTTTGTATGAATATGGTATGTTTGATCGATACTTGGTTAAACAGTAGTTAAAACTACTGAACAATCAATTGCTTTAAATTCGATGAAAGGGTTTTACAACTTTTTATGCACTCTGAGATATTGAATCTTATAGATCTCATAAAAATTATAAGTTCATGCATATTGGATTGGTACAAATTGCATTTAAACCTTTAACTTTAGAAGGTTTACAGAATCTTTATTTGCTGCCTTACGTGATGGTAGAAATTTACATTGGAAAAAATCCTAATGGGCATAATACTGATCAGCCTAGCTCATGGTCCAGTTTATTTTAATGTCTACCCAAATTTACAGCTATCATTGTCGATGTTAATATACTCGATGCTTTAACCTTAAATGTGAAATTACATGGTTACAATTATTTACCGGAAGTGAACTTATTTGTTTACATTACCGTATTTGTTTTAAATTATTAAATACCTTAACACCCGATGTAAGATTATAAGTAAACCATCCGATGAAACCATACTAATAGAAACTAATTTTTATAAATCTCAAATTAGTACCCGTAAAACTATAAAATGGGAAGAATTGAATTTCCAGTCTTGGCAAATTAATAAAGGAATTAAAGGAAACTCATTAACTCATAATATTACAAGTTGTAATGTTACGAAATTGAGCAATCGATAATGGTCGATAAGTATTACTTTGATAAACCAAAAATTCCTAAATTACTAAGATCCAGCTCTCTAAGATCTTTTAAATCTTATATAGATCCATCGATTCTCATAAATTTTCGACATCTTCGATTCTGAAATAGATCTAACAAATAGAATAAATCAAGTAAAAATTGATCCATATAATATTGTTCGGTCTGCTGATAGTAAGACATTTGATAAGGATATGCCTTCACCTTCTGAAATGGGTTATCATGGCGAATACTGAAAAATTAGATTTTCGTCCAGGATCTAATATTAGACAAATAATAAGACAAGAATTTCAATCTGAAAAGTGGAAACTTTTCAGAGAATGGTTCTTTTCTACTTATGATATTGAAAATCAAAAACTTATACAAAAAGAATTTTATGAATATGCTTCTTTTCACAATCAAATAATATATTTTGTCCCGTGGTTTATAATCACTTATCTTGATAAATATATTTTCCTCCTCGAAAGAGAATATCATCTTGCAGATGGAAAAATTACAAAAGGAATTTACCCTCCCCAAAAGAATTTGTTTTAACAAATGCAACTCATATAACTTTTACGCATTTGAAATTGATTGAAAGTGAAGTTTTACCTTCTCTTGTTTCTTTAGTAAATAAATTTATTCAGCAAAATAATTATACAAATTTATATGTAAAAATTTTAGGAGAACAAATTAATTCTTTACATGATAAAGTTGACAAATTATTTTCTCTTATAAATAATTTTCAACAAACAGTTAAACCAGTTTTAATTGAAAACAAAAATAAGGATATTAAAATACAAAATTTTATACAACCTCCTCCTATAGTAAAAGATTATAATCTTGAATCTCCACATGTCTTAGAAAAATTATTGGAAGAAAAATTTAAAAACCTTAAATTATCCACTTTAGAATTTTCTGAGAATATACAGAAAGATTTCGATAAAACTCTACGAGATGAAATAAATCGTCTTTCTAATAAATCTAGACATAATAAATTTGCTAATAAACCATATATGAATCATTATTATTACCCTCGACCTTCTCCACAAGATCTTCTTTATGAAGAACATCAAGAAACTACTAATAGTTATAGTAGTCGTTACGTTTATGAATGGAATTGTGACGCGTTCTTGATAGGCAATTAACTAATATGGTGCATAGGATGTTAATGTACTCCTCGGTTGCAAAAGCAAATGGTAATACGAGATCGTGCAATCGCAAAATGATAGTTTGTGGTTTTACTTGGTGTCCTTAAAGGATGGTGGGATAATTATTTAACTGAAAATGATAGACAAAAATTTATAATACGGTGAAAATTGAGAATGAAGGAACATCTACACCCATTATGATGGAAGATGCAGTATATACTTTGATAGCATCTATATTAGAACATTTTTCTGGAAAATTTACTAATAGTCAAGAAAATATTCGAACATTGTTGAATAATTTTAAGTGTAAAACACTTACTTCTTTTAGATGGTATAAAGATTCATTCTTATCAAGAGTCATGGAATTACCAGAAAGTAATAGCTCTTATTGGAAAGCTAAATTTATAAATGGCTTACCAACTCATTTCTTGAACGAATAAGAAAAGTTCTTAGGAAAGATTTTCCTTACATTCCTTATGATGATTATACTTATGGTCATCTAATAGGTGTTTGCACACAAGAAGGATTAGCTTTATGTAATGAAATAAAGTTAAATCAACAAATTAAAAGACAACAACTATCAGAACGAAGACAATTAGGTCAGTTCTGTGATCAATTTGCTATGGATATTGGGCCAGAAAATAGGGATAAAAGAATGAAGAAAAATAAAATTCCTTATATACCTAAAGGAAAACGACGACGTAAAAGAACAAAAGAACAAAGAGAATTTAGAAAAATTAATAGAAAAAATAAAAGAGACATAAAATGTTTCAAATGTGGTCAAAAGGGTCATATTGCCCCTAATTGTAAAAAGATTAATAGAATTAGATTATTAGAAATAGATGAACAACTTAAAGAACAAATATGCAAAGTAATAGAAGAATCGAAGCGAGTCCAAACGGAAGAAACTAATAGCTCCAAAAATAATATGCTTAAAAATGATGAATATTCATCTAGTTCTTCGGATGAATGTCTTCCATGTCAAAATAATAATAATAATAATTGTTGTAAGGATAATAGTCTTTACAATATTATATCTCAATTTCAAGATTTACAATTTAATATGTTAACAACTGATAATGTTTTAGAATTACTAAAACAAATACCAGATCATGATATTCGTGATAAAATAATTAAAATGATAGATGTGTCTCATAAAAAAGAAAAGGAAGTTAATAAAAAGGATATAGTTTTAAATAATAATCGTTATTCAATGCAGGAAATAGAAAAAAGAATGAAAAAATTACTAAATAAAGAAGAATCATCTTCTTCAGTTATAACTATTGCAGACTTACAAATAGAAGTTCATAATATAAAGAATGAAATAAAATATTTGAAACAAAATAACGAATTATTAGAAAAAAGGATTAAAACAATTGAATAAGGTAATATATATATATATATATATATATATATATATATATATATTGGCCCAGAACGATTACGTAAAATTATTGATATGTATCACACTCTCTCCCTCGGTCCTGATTACACAAAAGCAGTATTTTTATGGCTACTATTGATTTTTGTTTGAAGTACCGAACTTGGAACGAGTATACCGCTCTGATCAATGAATGAAAACGAGCTAAATACTTCTTTAATTTGACTCCAATCGGAAACAAAATCAAGAGTTTATGAAAGAAATTTTCACAACAAGAGAATAATAGTAATGATAATTTTATCATTGAATCAACACACATTCACTAGCAGCAATATTTTATACCCATATATTATAATGGGCTTATTATAATGGGCTTATTTATGGGATAAAGAGGAACTCAAAGTCCAAAGTTCAAATGATTACAATTGTACGTAGATTTTCAATCAGGCTCTTTGAAATCAATATATTTTACACACAAACCTTCTTTACCTTTTTTTGACACACTGATTTCTCCCATTTGATGCATGAAGCCCGCTGAGTTTGAATTTTTTTTATATGTTTATTGATGAATTTTAGCAATTTATAAGTTCTGATGCTAAATTCTTCAATTTTTCTTTTTATGATTCAAACTCAGTCTTGTTTGACAACAAACCTAATTTGTAGTTGGATGTTTCCACTTCTTTTCTTTTTCTTCCATCCTGCAAGCATGCATGTGTTTGAAACAATTTAAGATTTCAGACCGAATTGTTGGCTTCAATTGAATTAAAATAGATTAAAAAAAAAAAAAACCCCCCATGGACTCTCTATGATATTGGCGTATAGTTAGAACTTGAAAAAAATAAATTTTTTAATTTCATTTTTTGCCGTGACCAGAGTGGCGGAGGATAGGTTTGAGGAGGGGGGAACGAGATGTTGTTTTGAAGATAGATAATTATTTTTTTTACCTTAAAATTTACTCTGCATGCGAAAAATTCTTTTGGCAGAATCAATACCCTATATAGATAGTGAAAATTTGTAGTGAAAATGAATAGTAACTTGAAAGACAGATAATCAAACCACTAATTAATAAAATAACTACAGTATAACAAGGGTAATTATGTATTTACACTTCACATCTGTCTCTATCCTCTTTCACTATCTATTCTCACTATAAAAATCATTATATATATATATATATAGAAGAGAGAGAGAGAGAGAGAGAGAGAGAGAGAGAGAGAGAGAGAGAGAGAGAGAGAGAGAGAGGTGTAGCTACATGCATCATTTGTGTTGAACTTCCTAAGGACTTCTCCTTGGTGCATACACCCAACAGTTAACTCGGCATGGATCACTAATTTTATGCGTGGTGGATTTGATTTGCTATTGGTATTGAAGGTCAAAAGAAGCATACGCACCCTATGCTTTAATTTCTTGTATAATTAATTAGACATCGACAATTAATGATTGTCGGTTGATCAAATAACCAACCAATTTGGATTAGAACTCATTTTAACTCAGCTCTAACCTTGAACAAAAATTTTATCATGAAGCAAGTAACAACTCATCCAATGAGAGTACATACGTAGGGGACCTGATCTTTATTACTGACCCGGCCAGCTACATACTTTTCCGCAAACCCAAAATTTGTCTCAGCCCACAAATCTATCTCCAATATGATAAGTTAAAGTTGTTTTGTTACAAAAACTGTGACTAATGACCCCCAAAATTCAGAAAACATATGATCGCAAGCATAAGAGGACATGATTGAGACGTTGCATTCAATACATAATAAAGTGACATTCTTTTCCTTTTTAATCAGGATCATAAAGCCAAATATTAAAAAAATGGTAATTCTATTTCAGTTTAGAATTTCTTTATACATGAAATACAATTTTCAGCCTTTGGACCTACTTGAAAATAATTTGTAGAATGTTTAATGTTAAATAACAAATATTGTATTCATGAGTATGTTTCTATATGAAATTAAGATAATAAGTAAAGGATAGAAATAGACATTGAGTAAAGTTAAAAAGGTATATTATTTTATCAATGTAAACTAGTGTTATTTTATGACGGGAAGTTATATATATTATGGTTTGAAACGAGTTTCATAGCTTTCTAACAAAGTATGTATTTAAGAGGCATAACAAAATTGATAAAATCGAAAATGAGAATGGGAGAGTAAAAGAATAGGTAAGGAAGGTGGCGTAGTTCTACATTTATTTTCTTCATGAAAATAATAATATATAAAATGCCCCTTTACCACTTGTCACTATGCCTTCCATTTGGCAACAGTTTCTTTCTTTTTTATTTTGCGGTTTTCTTTTTTGTGCCTATTTATTCACTTTCGCTTGCTGCCTTTCTACACACACAGTAGCAAGTGAAGAAATCGCAAAATCAATTTTCCTTCTTGTGTGTGTTTGTGTGTGTTTAGGAAGCTAGTAAATGGTATCACAATCAATAAAAAAGGTATAGAATCAATGGAGGTAGGAGGATCAGGAGTGAATAGCAATGGAAGTGGTGCGGGTGGTTTCACTGGGTATCGCCGAAATATCCCGAATTCGAACTCTGGTAAAAGAGAGTAATTGTTGTTCATTAATCTTAATTATCACAGCTGCAGCCCCAATTTAGGTTATTTAATTGTGTGCAAGATTAATTTTTCTGTCTATTCCAGGAGTTCCCTTTTTTAGTGTTTAAAATATAGTAGATCGATATATCGGTAGGTGTTATTTTTCTTATATATAATTTATTTACAGAGATCTCTGTTTCGAAAACTAGACTTGATTTGACGGTCAAATAAACTCAACTGGAAACCAGAGGCCTTCTTGGTCGGGTTTCAGAAAATAATCGGTTAACTTAAAAATCGATTAAACTTAGAGAAAATCACGGTTTGACCAAGAACTGTACCGGCTGAACCGGTTCTTTGAATTTTTTTAAAAAGTAGCTAATTTTTAATATCTTTTATAGTCAATTTTATTGGTTTTAGAGACTAATTTGAAATGGATCGAGCCAGTAAACTAGTAATCTAGTTAGGTCATCAGTTTACCTTCCGATCCAATTTTCAAAACATAGACAGAGATTTGGAGCAACTAGTAATTAATTACCAAATTCCTAATAGTTTCATGTATTGAGAGTACTTGTTAAACTAAAAATTCATTAATTATTTATCCCTTTAATTTATTCCTTAAAAGATAGATGATGTTTTCTACTACAGTGTACAATTTTAGAAATAATTAGTAAGATATGCATATATATATATATATATATTAATTCTCATGTGGATGAAAAGTAGTAGAAAATATTAATTTGAGATATTTCAGTCGATGCATTGCATTTGTTCATGTGCATGGTCATATACTTATTCACAACCCACAACTGAATCAATCGATTGTTTTAGCAATCACATACCCCTACTATACATAGTAACACCCCGATTTTTAGCACGTCCTCTACTTAAACATACATAGTGAAACTAATATTTTATTCAAACTTATTAATATATAATGACCTAACCTGTAAAGAGAGAGATTTAGAGAGTTCGGTTAGTAAAAGGCAGTATAAGATCTCACTATAAGGTGATAAGAAGATTTGGCTTACTCTTGAGATCTAAACTAAAAGCAAAATGAAAGATTTGGATTCACCTAAAAGGGATTTGATATCTGAATTTTGATGGGTTTCCCGAATGAAAAGGCTGAAGGAGTAAAGATGATTTCCTCTATTTTTTTGAAAACTTCGGTTATCTCATTTTCTCTTTTGTTTTGAGCGAATTTTTACTCATTCTTCTTTGCATTAACGGCTTTCTATCTGCTGTTGTGGTTTGGTAAATGGTGTCCTGGACCTTTCCAAAAACTTGTTTTGAAACAGAATGAATGTATTTTGGGCTTTCTGAAAATGCAGAGAATCCGGTTTCATATCCCATTAGAGACTCGTTTCTTCTATCCCTTGAACGCGGTTCTGTGATTTCTTTTCATGAATATCTTTATACTCGTTGGAGTTTACCTCATTTTTCACTGATCATAAAACAAAGTTATGGGTTTTCCGAAATATTGCAACATGCCTGTCGTGAAATTATGGATTTTTCTTCTGAGGTGCAGTTTTGGAGATCGTTTTCTCCAGGTTTTTAAACTGTTAGGTTTCTGATTTCATGGGATAAATCCTACCATTTTTTATCCTAGTGGATAATGGTTTTGATGTTTTATGAATATGGCCTCCGTACTACTGTGTTGCTGAAATTTTCAAAACTTGGAAAAAAGCGGAGAAGCTGACTTTAAGCTTCAGTTTCCCTTGAGGAAACACTCTTTTTTCATATGACTTTCATCACTGTGATTCCTTGGTTATCCAAGTATACATTAGAACCTTAGTATTACAGCCTATAGACATCCCCTGTCGCTGTCCTAATTATTTCAAATATATAAGATGATGATGATGATTGATACGTGCGTGTATAGGAATGAACATTGGAACTGGACTGCCTCTCCAAGTTCAACCACCAGCTGCTCCTAACAATAACCAACTGAACCATCCCATCAATACCTATGTAGCAGCTAGTTATGGTAATGGTGGTGGTAGTAATGCTGTTGTTGCTGGCGGTGGAGGAGCATCCGACGGCGGGGAATGCGCGGTGAGGGAGCAAGACAGGTTCATGCCGATAGCTAACGTGGTAAGGATCATGCGGAAGATACTGCCGGCGCAGGCGAAGATATCGGATGATTCCAAGGAAACCATTCAGGAATGCGTGTCGGAGTTCATCAGCTTCGTCACGGGGGAAGCCAATGAGCGGTGCCTGCGGGAGCAGAGGAAGACCATCACCGCGGAAGATGTGCTGTGGGCGATGAGCAAGCTCGGCTTCGACGACTACATTGAGCCTTTGACCCTCTATCTCCATCGCCTCAGGGAGTTTGATGCTGCTGCTGCTGCCCCTGCTGGATTCTTCACTCCTCCTCCTCCTCCGGCCGACGTTAACGCTACTGGAGAAGGGCCTAGTTCCAGCAGCTCCCAGAGTGTTGTGGTAGCAATGGATAATGGGGAGGAGGATCATCAAGAAGTTGGACACCGCAACAAGGAGTAATTGTGGTGTATTTGCCCTCGCAGTTCTGCTGCTAAATTCTTCTTCAATTTTTTCTTTTTATGATTCAAAAGTCAGTCTTGTTCGACAACAAACCTAATTTGTAGTTGGATGTTTCTTCTTCTTTCTTTTTTTTTTTTTTTTTGGGTCCTTCTTGCGCGCATGCATGTATTTGAAACAATTTAAGACTTCATAATTAATTAGTTCTCCAATTTTCTTCTCTTCCCTATCGTCATTTGTTTCTTTAAAGTTTGAAGCTTCCATCTTTTCAGCATTGGCGGATTTTACAGGGGAGTAAATTAAACCACACTTCAGAGTAGGGAAAAAAAGAAAAGAAAGGGAAGGATAATAGAACAAGTTTTTGTTCCTGAGATGTAAAACATGTAACAGTGAATGTGCAATTTTTCAAAAGCTTTCGAGAAGTAAATCAGTCGTTGAGGTTCTTGTTGAATATGTTGACCATGCAATTTTTGAAAAACTTGTCCACTTTTCGCGCCAACATGAAAAGTTAAACAGATTAATGTAGTTTTAACCAAACTTTACAGTGTGTTTTCAAAGGAGACTTGAAATGGAAGAATTTAATTAACCGCCTGGAAAAATAAAAATATTTGTAAACTGAATCATTTCATTTATATGACATCAAATGGCGCTTTTCCACTGATGATGATGACGATCATGTATAAGGGTTGAGACTTCATTTTCTTTTTTGGTATAGGATTATACATATACATTAATTTTTCCTTCCAATTGGGTTTTGACTTTTCACCTTCTTTTCTCCGATAAACATATGGTCTGCATACTTCGTAGTTCTTGATTAGAATAATTTTATTGGTTTGAATTAAAAAAAAAAGAATAATTTTATTGGTTATTATTATTAAATTAGGGGGCTTAAACGCGCTTCGCGCGTGTATATATGAACATGCCGTGAGTATATGTATTGAGTATGAGGTGAGAGTTTTTGTTTGTATTGATACAGATACAATATTTTTTCAAAAAAAAAAAAAGATACAAATACGATCTTTCAAGTGAATTCGTTTGCATTAACATTACCCGAATCATCCATAATTCAGAAGCACATTTCAACAAGTACGGCAAACAGCGAGTGATTTGAAACATCAGTTGTAATCATGTTTTTTTTTTAAGAAAGAAAAGTGAAAGGAGAGGCTGGTCCTGGTAAAATGATTATAAGGCTCAAATTTTTAGTAAAGATGCCTCGATTTAAATTCCATCACTGATTTATCCAATCTAAGTTTCTAATGCATCTAGCAAATCGAAGCCAAAGAATCTTCTTTTAGATATCTTCCGCCATTATCATGTTTGGGTTTCTCTTTTAACTTCACGGATACATAGAACTACATATGATAATCAATGAACAATTAATCATCTGAATGATAACAATATTCTTTTTTCTCAATATTTAGCTGATTCATTGCTATTGGAGTCGCTAAACATTTTTTAGCAATTCCTAAGGCTTCAGCAAGAAAATAATACAATATTCATATCTCCTTAGTAAATTCAAGTTCAAAATAAAGAAGGATATGCAAATAGAACTAAATAACACCAATCTGTCTCATAGATGCTAATTGTGTCAAAATTAGACGTTAAAGACTACTTAGCTACAATCCATAGATAAAGAAAAGAATTGCAAGATCTTGTTCTAATCCGTCAAAATAGAAATGCACCACAGTCCCTTATCATGTTCCACAACAGTAATCGGTTTATAACATTCCCCATATATCATCACAAATTTTTTACAAATAAGCACATCAGTAGTACTTGATTTCTCTCAATTTCTTCATTAATTTTTTGGGCAGTGTACCATATTAGCCTCATAGTTTAATATCGCACACAATTAGAATCTAACAGAAGCTTAGAAACATCATAAATATGATTCAAATCATAAAAGTTATATACCATACAACTCCTTATCTAAACAAAATTATACCATACAACTTCGAGTAAAATAAATGTAATACAATACGAACACAACCAAAAAAAAAAATTCAAAAATCAAACTGAATAGGATACATGTTTGATGTGTCTTCTCGGGCTATAGAAACCAAAAATCAAATTGCGGATTATGGATAGTTATTGAGTTATTAAAAATCTACGCTCAAAGAAGGGAATAGAAGAATACGCTGGGATAGGTTAAACAAAAACTTTGAATCCCATAGAACTTGAGGGAATTTTATTACCTTATATGTTACCATTATTGTGAGCGGAATACGATTGGATAACCGTGGAAGTCCAATCGTAATGTTCTCAAAAATCTAAATGTGAGAGGGAGGGGGCAAACTTCCGTTATAAAATTAATGAGTACTGGTTTTAACTTTAGGCAGGTCAAAGATTGACAGTAATGTTCTCATAAGAACTCATATTGAGATAAAATCAAACATATTTGATACATGTGGAGGACTACCAAATCTGCATATATTATTCTCCAATTATATATATGTTTGATGATGATGAATCTGATTTGTGCAAAAACGGTTGACACGATTTTAACTCTTTGAATTTCTATTTGTCTCTTTTAAAAAAAAAATTAATGATTTCATCAATGAGAATTTGAGGAATTATTTTATAGCTTCTAAAATATATAGTAATTACGAGGTTTGTATGCCACTGTATAATTCTTAATTAATTATAAGAGTTTTGTCACTATCTTTTTTCTATTTTTTCAAAGGTTTCCTCTTACCTTACGGAAATCAGTTTATTTTATCACTACTATTATTATTCTTTTTTTGGTATAGAAGAATTATATTACATAAATGAGTTATTTAGTTTTTTATTTTAATATTTTTTATTTTAGTTGATTTCTTTCTTTCTTTCTTTTTTTTTTTTTTGACGTGACGTTGAAACTTTTTTTTTTTTTGTTTACTTTGCTTGTGTATTTTTCTTTTTCTTTAAAGTTGAACTATTTTTGTGCTTATATACACTAAATTTTCCATCAAGTTTGTTTATGATTAATAAATCTGCCAAGATTTTTATTTATTTATTTGTTTATTTGTGTTACTTAGTAGAGAGTGAAATGGATCATAAAGTGATTCACGATTCTTTTAGTAAAAACTTCATTTTTTAAAAATACTCAGTACTTTATAATATACCATTACATAATATATGTCGCGAAACGCGTCTAATCCATCTAGTATATGCACTAAATTACAATATGAATTTGGGTCCTTGATAAAAAATAAATAAATTTAAAAGGTGGTCAAGAAAATGAAAAGGTTTAGAAATAAGATTAGGAAGTTCTTGACTACCAAAATAGTTTACTACTTAGATATTATTAGGTGAATCTTATGGGTCCCATAAAAATTTCAAATTTTAACAATTCTCAACACTCTTAATTATTTTAACATTTATATTAATATTATATGCAGTATAATTTGTTCTGAAAATCAAAAAAAAAGTTATTGAAAAATATTTTTGTTGACTTGCTATTAAATCTGGTCAAAGTGCATGAATAGCATCAAAGGACCAAAAAAAATTACATTCCAAAATATAGAAAAATCATTTTAGCCAAATGTCAATGTAAATGATCAAAATGTGCATTTGACCTTATGTAAAGGATCATTTTTAGAATTTAGTCATTTAATTTTAATGAAGAAATTGTAGGGAATACATATAAGCAAAATTTGTGTTGTTAAATGCAAAAATTATCTTTATGTCACGTGTCATTCTTGGCAACTGCTTTACACATGTTAAAAAAGATAGATAACTACCGCAACTCACTTAAGTAATCATGACAAACTTCTATATTCAAAAAATAATGGTTTTTTTTTTTATTTTTATTTTTTTTACAGTTCACTACTTTCTTCTAACATTCTTCACATTTAACCCGGCCATCTCTCTGCTGTACAAGAGGTATAAAGACCTATTAGACATGAAACATAAGAAGCTATTTAGGTTCTAAGCCCAATTTTACACCTTTCTGGGAATAAGCTGATTGCCCGGAAACAGCATTTTGACGTTTAGCTCGGGCAATAGATTTAGGACTGTCTATTGGTATTAGAGCTTCTTCGAGGTCCTCCAGAACCTTTTTCATAACGGGTCTTTGCTTAGGATCTGGGTCCAGGCACGATAATGCGACAGCAGCTGCAGCTTGCGCAGATTTCTTGGAGTATTGACCGCCTAGCCTCGTATCCATTATCCGCGTAATTCTGCTGTCTGTGAGGAATGGTATAGCCCAATCTACCAAGGTTTCATCATTGCCTCCCATATTTTCGTCGCCCATTGCCCTTTTTCCTGATAACAACTCTAATAAAATCACTCCAAAGCTGTACACATCACTCTTTGAAGTCAGCCGACCTGGGTTATGTCAATTCGTTACAACAAGCTCACTAATATAGTAAATACTAAATTTTGGCAGCAATATAACGGAAGCTAAAAAGCTAAATAGAGTGGATTAGTGACAAGAGCTATCAGATAGTACGCGATAAATTGTTCTCCCAGTTTGAAATATCTACTGCAATGTACCTTGGACGATAATTCCAATTCGTAATAACACCAAATATGAAAAGAGACAAATGGAGAAAAATATCTGATCTACCAAGGACAGAAGATTATAAACATTACAACAGATTAAGAATGGTGCACTAACCTGTAGCAATATATTCTGGTGCAGCATAACCCTGAGTTCCGACTACTCTAGTGGATACATGTGTTTTATCTCCACTTGGACCATCCCTTGCAAGGCCAAAATCTGAAAGCTTTGCAGTAAAGTCCTGCAAATTTGGCATCAAACAGTCATTTCGGTCTCCGATTAAGAATATAAGATTCTGTAGTACTACTTTTAGCTATATAAAAACTATAATCAGATTGCACACCGAATCAAGTAGGATGTTTGAAGCTTTTAGATCTCGATAGATGACATTGGCATCTAAGTTATGTAAGAAACATAATCCCCGAGCAACATCCACTGCGATTTTAATCCGAGTAACCCAAGTCATGACTTGGACTCCTTCTGCAATATCAAAACATGTGATCATGTCGGTTTGTAAATGGCTTTTCACTAAATATAAAGATAATAAACAATGAAGGGCAAGTTGTTTATGTTGATGCATGCATAGCATCAAAACATATACACAGCTCAAAATCTGTTTGTGACAACATTATATTTCAGGCAGTAAAGGGAGAAAGCAATAACACGACAGCTTGGGAGTTGAGACCAAATAGAATTTGGAAATCAACTTTGCAATGTAACATAAGCTCTACTAGATGCTACCCTAATCAATAGTCTACATCAAAGTGCAGACACATTTTCCCATTTGTATATTGAGGTCAAAGAAAATTCAGTGAGTTAAATCCACGATCATACTGAAGTAGCAATTCAAGTTCCAATCATAGTGCAGCGAGTATAGTTGTCCATTACAAGTAACTCAATAAATTTCCATCCAAGAAAGTCTATGGCAGAAACACCCCGGACGTTAATGAATTCTTGAAACTAAATAAGAAAGGAAAACCTGATACTTGATCTAAATGGGGGAGACGTGACATATTGTTCCAAGCATACAACAAAATCATCCTTGTTATGTATGCTAAAGGGGAAATGATAACACCGGAAACATGCTCACCGTACAAATGACATAAACATAAACCTCTAGCAAAATGTCAAATCTAGAGGATGTAGATGAGAGAAATAAGTTGGCTTCACCAAGAGCACCATTACGTATAATGAATAAAGGAGTTGTATGTGGTGCTAAAATTTACTTACTCTTAAATAGATGGTTTTCCAAGCTTCCCCTTGGCATGAAATCATAGACCAAAAGTCTCTGATCAGATTCAGAGCAATATCCAATAAGCTTCACTAAATTTTCATGATGAAGCTGACCTAAATAGTTAACCTCTGCCTGCCATATTATGAATGATGGGGTGAGAAAACATTCGACAATATGATGAACGACTTAGCATGATTAGTTATGCAAAGCTTCTGATAGGACTGGGAAGGACTTACAAGCCATTCCTTATGACCTTGAAAGCTTTCTGTCTTCAGTTTTTTAACAGCCACAACCTTCCCATGTCCTGGTTTAGTAGCAGCCAATGTATTCTCATCAATCCATCCTTTGAAGACATATCCAAACCCTCCCTCACCAAGAAGACTATCAGGCTGGAAATTTTTGGTCGCATTTTTTAAATCATTGAAACTAAAGGACTTGAGGTTGGTGGAAATTGTAGAATCAAGATTGAATGGTTGAAGAGAACCATTCTTAATGCCCGAGTTTGGATCCGCTTTTGTTTTTACAGGTTCTGTTCCTGTACCTGTAGAACTGAAATGGTTAGGTGACTACGTAACTACCACAAAATATTACATATACCCTAGATTACTGTGGCGAAAAAGAAAACCAATGTATAACACCTATACTCGACAGGGCAGATAACTCGAGAAGTCCATTTTTGCATTTAAGGAAAAGGAAAGCAGTCGTTCATTTGAACTAGAAAAGCCAAATGACATTTTAGCAACTTTTTATCATCAATTTCCAGCTAGAACACTAAACATGATCATGTTTCCACATACTGTTCAGATATAAACTCTAGACTGTGCTTGTTTTGTATAGACCCTTTAAATGGTACAACCTCCAAAACAGTCATATCTTCAGTGAGAAAACAATTGATTATCTAACTTAATCAGATGCATCGAAAAATTCAGGGTCCCCGACACAGCACAGCTCGATGAACACTACACAGCCTATTCTCAGAAAACATTTCTACTTCAATGAATAGAGAGTGGCGCCATGATACAACTACTAAGTGAAGTGCAACTCTTTAGGTTCCTAAAGACGTCGTAATAAATTGTAAATTCACAATGTTGATTCAACCTCCGTTTTTTGAAACTGTTACAACATATCGATCTACAAAAAAATCAATCATGGGAGTTTGGGATTTTTCAGGTTCTGAAAATTTCAATCTTGTGCGTGTTCAGTTTCACTTTTGAACCCTATCTTGAAGCAATATCAAGCTGCCAACAAGATTTGAAACTTCTACTAAACAAAAATTAGTCTCCTTATTCACTCTGCTTTGAGCTGAGCCCAAAAAAAAAAAAGGCATTTATACATGCAATTGGAGTGCAAAAATAACTAACATTTTTACCACTCTCACTAGGAAAGCAAAACGGACCAATTTTAAACCACGGAATGAAATTTAACTCTTACCAACTAACTGGGTGGAAGAAGCATTAGCCAACTTTGCCGGTTTTCCAAAGCAAATTCCCATAGCAAAAAGCAGTTCTTCTTGGTTTCAACTCCCAGAAGTTGGAGGAACTGACGATATTGAAAGCGCTGACAAATGGATTGAAGAAAAATTTGCATATCCAAGAATAGTAAACCTCATTAATTGTGATTTCCTTTTCTTTTTTGTTTCTTTTTGTCAGAGTGAGGAAGATTGAAGAAGAACCACCACTGTCATTAACTCCAAAAAATGAAAAAAAAAAATCCTTGGTCTTCAGTCAAGGTTGAAGAAATAAAATTTAAAATAAATTTTTGGGTTTGAAAAATCTGAAAACAAAAATCGAAGTTTGAATTTTCTGACTCCTGGATGGACCCATTTTGCATGGGATTGAGGACTGTGGGTGCATCCATTTTTGACTAGAGAAAGCATTCAATCTGAACGTTTGCCAGAAAAATTTGAGATAATTTAAGATAAAAGAAGAGTTGAAGACAATGAAATATGAAACAGACAGGAAGAAGAAAAGAAAGAAACAGGGGAACAAGTCCAAGAAGTCAAAGGCTTTATATTTATTTATTATATTAATTAGTTCCAATGTTTTTTACCTAAAAAAACCTCGATTCTATTTTAAAAAAACCAGAAAAAATATCGTTCCTACCCAAAACTTTGCCCTCGTCGTCAGTCATACTCAATAGATTTTCAGTTAGCCAACTTTATCCTAATGTTTGAAATTTTCGCCAATTTCGCTCAATCGGCCCATTTTCCGTCTAAATTAACGGATCTCCGTTAGTTTTATAACAAAATAATAAATTTAATTACAAAAGTACTCAGTAATTTTTAAAAATTTTAAAAATAACCTCTAAAATATATAAAAATGAAAAAATAGTCCCTTTTCACTTTTTTATTTCATTTTTCTCTATTTTATTTCATTTCTCTTTATTATTTTTAATGACCATAAAAGTATATTATATGAGTTTTAAAAAAATATTTATTTATTTTTAAACTCTACCGTAAAATTTAATCTTTGTATAGTTGTAACACATGATTATATTTATATAAGCATGTTAATCTTTTTAATAATATAGTTTAGCAATAAAGAAACTATTTTTCTGATTTATTTTATTCTTCCTAACATAAAGATTAAAAATATTTAAATGAAACTAATATTCCACATAAAAATAAAATATTATCTCAAATAAAAAAATATATTAATATATTTTAGTGTATTACAATTTAACTCAAGAGACTATAACATGCATTAATATAATTCATAATAAAATAACTAAAATATAAAATAATTAAAATCTTAAAAAAATCCTCCAAACATAAGTTTTCCTTCTTGAATCTAAAACCTATTTTCTATCACAACAACTTATTACCATATTGTTACCTCCATTCATTTATTTTAAACTAAAATCATATAGAATAAGCTAGTAAGACTTCCTCTTAGTTAAATATATTAATATCTCAAATAATTATTACAAAATGTTAAATCCTCGCATTGATAAGTATAAACATATTTTTTTATAAATTATATTATGCATGTAGTCTCTCTAGTTAAATTGTAATACACTAAACTATACTAATATATTATTTTTTATTTGAGTTAATATTTTATTTTTATGTGGAATATTTTTTTCATTTAAATATTTTTAATCTTTATGTTAGGAAGAATAAAATAAATTAGAAAAATAGTGTCTTTATTGCTAAACTATATTATTAAAAAGATTAACATACTTATATAAATACAATCATGTGTTACAACTATACAAAGATTAACTTTTACGGTAGAGTTTGAATATAAATAAATATTTTTTTAAAACTCATATAATATACTTTTATGGTCATTAAAAGCAGTTGAGAGAAATGGAATAAAATAGAGAAAAATGAAATAAAAAAGTGAAAAGGGACTATTTTGTTATTTTTTATATTTTAGGGATTATTTTTAAAATTTTTACAAACTACTGGGGCATTTTTGTATTAAAAAAGTAAAAAAAGTAAAAAAAAAAAAAAAAAAAGCACACACAACAAAAAGAAGGAAAAAGTGAAATGAAAGAATGGAAAAGGAGAATGGGAGTACGATAAGGTAACGATAATCATGCATGAAATGAAATGTTCTATGTTTTAAAAATTGGGGAATTAAATGAGTTCATGTTTATTTAGTCCAATCTATTGTCAAAATCTGACAAACAAATCATTCTAGTTTGATGATTTCCACAAATATGACTTTGGTGCACGGGCTAAAATGACTTCGGGAGATATTTCAAACGTCCATATCAATTTAATGAATCTTAGTAGACATGATTATTAGTATAGCAGTATGAAAAATTCAAGGATCAAATTTGATCTGTGATGTGTTGGGTTATTCATGATTTTAATAGAAATTTCCAAACAATAAAGTAAAATAAAATTGCGATATATATTTCTAGAGGTCCATTAAAGGTCTAACGGTTATTTCTAATGTGTTTCTGTTAACGGATGTGCATATAATTTACTTACTTTTAATATTCTTTTACGCGAAATTTTGCTAATATTTTGAGTACAAATACGTTATTTATGTGATTTTATATTTAATTAGATGTTAAACCTGTCCGATGAACGGTGTAGAAAATTTTTTGAGAAAATAAATTATCGAGATTGAAAATAAAAGGTTGACACCATTAAAAATAAATTTTACGTTTATAAATCCTACAGTACTTATACCGTAAAGAAGTACTCTTGTTACTCGTTTTCTCGTCTTTTTCACATATTTAAACTTTGAATTTTTTATTGTTAATTTGAATAAAGAAATATATAACTAATGATTACTGAAAATTAAATGTGGCAAATACAATCAAATTAAACTTAGAAAGGATTGTCCCCTTACTTTTATTAATTGTTATTTGGAAATAAATAACCACTGAAAATTGTCTTCTCTTCATTTTGAATAGAAACTTGATGTTACAAGGGCACCTAGACATGCAAAGAATTTATACATCTTCTCCAACATGACTATCTAAGATAACGTTTGCCACGATGACACGTTATTTTGTCATCATGATCCACATCACTTTCTGACGGAGAAATAATGTTCGAGCTTAAGTATACAACTTTAGGTAACTTGTCCAACAGATGCATATTTATGACATCGACATTATCATAAGTTGCAGCAAGAATAGTTTTTAATTTTAAGTAATCTGGATTGTCAAATTATATAAAACATCAAAGTAAATGGAATTAACAATTGTAATAATTAGATTACCATAATTTTTATAACAATATCCCTAGGAATTTCAATTACAACAACAATATAATTATATTTTATCTAAGTAAAATGTTTAAATGTAATAATATTAAAATTTTATGTATCCTTAATTTAGTTTTATTGATAAAGTGTTAATATAAGTAAGACATAATTTTATATTTTTCTTTGTAATGTTAAATTATTGAATAATAGTTTATAATAATTCAATAATATTTTATATTTTATGAACTATTTACTCTCCACCTGTTCAGGTGCCTCAGTCATTGTAACATTAATATTAATTTTTTGGGCTAAATGTTACGTCCATGTTGAGGTGATTTAATCACTTGTCCGACCCATATTCCTTACATCTTTAGTAATTATTAGATTAGTCTTTTAACTTTTCACCAAATGCCACCACCCATTGAGTTACCTTAGTTCTACCTGTTGAGGTGCCTTACGGGTAACAATTAGAAAGTCGTGTTATGATAGCACAATACTTCTTCTTCCTTTTTCCATTAGTCATGTTCCTAAGCCTCCTTTTGATATGCAAATAGATATATTCTGTTAGCCGAATTTTGGTCGTATAGAAAACCAATTTTCTTCATCTGTACATAGGAAATGGAAAAATAAAAATAAAAAAACCTTACCCTAGAAACCCTGAAATAATAACTATTTTAGAAATTTAAATGTAGAAAAAAAATATTGAATATATTATTTCAACTCCAGTAAGAATAAACAAAGGAGAGATTACTGATATGAGAAATTCCTCAAAATTGGTACCACTTAAATTAACCTCATTCCCTAAATTGAGAAATTCATGCGGGGACATAATTTTTGAAAGATTCTTATTTCTTGTTACCGATTTATTCACCTGTAGGCCTTCTCTTTATCTATTTTGATGTTTATGATGTTGTTTCCTTTATGTATTTCTCAATCTCTGCTTGCATCAATAAGAACTCATATATAACAAATCATCACAACTCAAACCATTCAAGTTTTATCATTCTTAAATTAATTAACTTTTTCAAACTAATAAATGAAAATTAATTGTTCCAATAAAACAATACTACACAAAAACAAAATTGCTAACCTTTGTCATAGATGATGGCCATTCCACAGATGGGAGGAATAGGCACGGGAGAGTAGATGGCCATGGAAGGAGGAAATATATGCAAATATTTTCCGATGCTTTTGTTATTGACAAACTTTAGGATGGAAATCCTGGAGATTTTAGGGATTCAAAACGTGTAATAAAAATTATTGAGAAACTTTAAGATGGTATTTCTAGAGATTTTAGGGATTCAAAACGTGTAACAAAGTTTGAGGGATGGCCGATCCTGTAGAGATTTTAGGATTCTTAAAGGAATAGAAGATTGCAGTAATTGGATAAGTCTATAAGGTAAATATATGTAGTTACTTAATTATAGAGTTGTAACTGAAGGTAGGGATGTTCACGGACCGGATTGGTCCGGTTTGCCCTCAATCCGTAACCAAACCGTTACTTACGGATTTTAAAATATTGAAACCGCAACCGGACCGGATTACACTACAAAACCGGACCAATCCAAACCGTATTGAACCGTTTGGTTTGGGCGGTTTGACGGTTTGGGCCTATTATTGGGCTTTTTTTTCTTTGGCCACAAATCGGCCTTTTTATGTTATTGGGCCTTTTGCTGGCCTTTTCTTTGGGTTATTCAGAGGCCAATAATGAGAGTAATATTGGGCCTCTTTTAAATTTAAATCCATGAAAATTAAAGATGTCCAAATGAATAAAATACAATCCAAAAATTCCACAAAAAAAATCTTCGGTGGTGGAGGCGGAGAAATGGGCGGAGGTGCAGCAGCGGGCAGTGGCGGCTTGGCTTCTCTGCCGTTTGGGAATGAGGAAAAAAAAAAAAAGAAATTGGAGGCGGAGGCTTCACTGTTTCAATTTGGGAATGACCGAATGAGAAGAAAAAAAAAACCTAGATGGTTTGGGGGAAAAATAGAAAAAAGAAGGAGGGAGACGAGGAGGAGGAGGAGGAAGGCTGGGAGGGGCGTCTTCGGTGGTGGAGGCGGAGAAACGGGCGGAGGTGCAGCAGCCGGCAGTGGCGGCTTGGCTTCTTTGCCGTTTGGAAATGAGGAAAAAAAAAAGAAATTGGAGGCGGAGGCTTCACTGCTTCAGTTTGGGAATGACCGAATGAGAAGAAAAAAAAAAACCTAGATGGTTTGGGGGAAAAATGGAAAAAAAAAATGTTAGTGGGTGCGGGGACTCGAACACACGACCTCAATCAAATATAAGCATGGGGGGAACAATAATGCCACTGA